TATCCACTTTCTCTTCTTTTAAACCTAGGCACATTCATTAAAAAAGATTGACTTTGATAATGCAAGTGATAACAATTAAGGTACTTTTTACTACCAACATTTATTTAAATATAAACGACAGTCAGATCAACATTGAAGTCTGTAATAGTGGAAATTATAAATAAAATAAAATAAAGTTAAAATGCTAATTCTAAAAATAATTACGAGTTGAAAACATACTTATTGATTCATCATTTTCAGATTCAGCGTAAAAAAATGTAAGCCTGCAAAGGAATTTCAAGCCAGAGTGATAAAATAATTTATTCATGATCTTTATGAAAGAGTCCATTTGTTATTCAAGGAATGGACGTTTATAAATAATGACGGGAAGTCGACAAGAACCATGTACAGATTGTGATTTACGATTGTTTTGTTGTTATTTCTGGTCGAATCGTTTGCCCTGGGACCCTCAAATATTTAAATGATTTACTCCTTGACGATAAACGCCATAATTTCTCGAAGAAGACTCAGAAATAAAACTGGGCAAAAAATTTCATTGTGAGGATTGGGGGTTTTTACAATAATTTTTCTTTTAATACGTGGATTAGTTTCCTATAATCTTCAATGTTTTTTATCTTATATTGGTTTTGTCTAGGTTAAGAAGCAGCTCCTTAAAACAAAAACCTTCATAAATATGAACATGTCTATCAGAAAGGAAAATTATTATGCATTAGCAACCTTCTTGGACATTGAAGGAGCATTTGACAATATTCCTTTTGAAGCAATGATTACATAACCTGCTGCAGATGGATAGAATCAATGCTAAAAAGCAGAAAATTGCAGGCCTCCATGTTCCACGAAAAATTAGAAGCAGCGGTGGCGAGAGGATGTCCGCAAGGAGAAATACTTTCGCCTCTCCTGTGGAATGTGGTAGTGGACGACTTCTTAATGCAAACTAAATGAAAGAGGAATCTTTATCCAAGGCTATGCAGATGATATTGTCATACTAATTCGACTCAACATTAAAAGAGCTCAACCAAAGAGCTCTAAACTCAAACTCGGTGGAACAATGGTGTCCAAAACGGGGACGGTGTGCAAACCCCTCAAAAACTACCTTAATTGCTTTCACCAAGAAAAGAAACATATAAATACAAGGTTTACATTTCTATAACGAAATGCTGTAGTTAAAAAAATGAGGTCAAATACCTAGGAATAATATTCGATAAGAAGTTAACCTGGAACCCTCACCTGCAGCATAATATAGCAAAAAGTAAAATATCGCTAATGATCACAGGAAGAACCCTAGGCAAATCTGGGTGATGAAAACCGGAAATGGCCTACGGCAGGAATAAGACCCAAAATAACCCACGGATCATTAATTTGGTGGACCAAAGCCCAACAAAAAGCATCTACTCAAACATTAGGCAGCATACAAATACCAGCAAACCAATGTATAATAGTGGCAATGAGAACAATCCTTACAAGTGCACTAGAAACTCGCTAAACCTACCTCCACTGGAAATATTCATACAAGGAGGGGCTATGAAAAGTTCATTTAAGCTTCAAAAACATTTAAATTTGATAGGAACTATACAATTCGGCCATACAACTATAATTAACAAAATCAGACAATCATTCATTAAAATGGGGACTGACTAAATGATCCCGGAAACAATCTTCACAACATCCTACAAATTTTCAACGGACTATATAGGAGAAGAAGAACACAGGAGAGCATCAGATACAATGATATGGTATACAGCTGGCTCCAAAACAAACGAAGGAACCGGATCGGGCATTTACTGACAAGCCCAAAACATGAGCAATCAAACTCATTACGGAAGCACACTTTGGTCTTTCAAGCAGAATACATGCCATCAAAGCTTGTGCTCTGGAAAATCTTAAAAGAGGTTACACTGACAAAAAATTCTCATAATATCTAATAGCCAAGGAGCCATTAAAGCATTAGCATGTAAAAGAATCATATCAAAATTAGTCAGCGTATGCATCCAAAATCTCCAAAACTTGGGGAAACAAAACAACCTGATAACTTAAGTTCCAGGGCACAGAGAAATTTTGCGTAACGAGAAAGCAAAGAGACTGGCTAGAGGAAGATCTGCAAGACCATATATAGACCCCGAACCTATACTTGGGATAACAAAAACAAATATAGAATCCTCCATCGCAGAATGGATCCAAATAAAACAAAAGGAAAAGTGTATAAACTCTAACGGTGCTAGACATAGTAAACTTATGATGAAACAACCCTCACCAATACTGGCAACATCTCTGCCGCAACTGGAGAAGGCGATACTCAGAGGAGTGGTAGGACTACTAACCAGTCAACAATACAAGAGGATCTTTAGCGACCGCACCTGGCCTTTTCGGCCTTATCGGACGTTTTGATTCTCAAGATGAGAGCTGACGACCTCCGCATACGACTGAATGGTGTTACGTTGCAGCATTGGTGTAGAGGCGCCCCCTAAGGGCCGAGAAAACCTCGCTCCCTCTTGTCCACTCCGAATGGTCGGGCCCGCATTGTGCATCGGGTCGTATGCAGCACGCAAAGGGCTAACAGGCCAAAATACATCAGCCTGTTCTCCCGCGTACTCCCTAGATAGAGAAGGCCACTCTATCTCCCTGAGAATAGGGGCTCCGCTAGCGTAGAAACTTCCGGGAACGCCATAGGCTCAGCCTAGGTGGTCCGATCCTTCGCTTCCCCAAGGGTATCACGCCGGTCATACGCACAACAATGCAAAGCATACTCGAGTTAGAGACATCGATTCACTACCCGTTTCCGTTCGCTTACTCACGCATTCGAGGGACTATTCAGCATGATCATCGCGTCCTCAACGGTTACACGCTGTCGTCCAGTCGAAACGTCTCCCGTGAGGCCGGGGGTAATTACGCTGGCCATACTCAAGCTTCACGAAGGTCACAGATAGAAGACAGCTCTGTCTAAGTTCCCGCCAGGGGCGTCACCACGCGCCACCACGAATCCGGACTCTGCTAAGGAACCCGACCCTAGGCCGACACGAGTACAGCTTGTGCTTTAGAGAGGTTGCCACGCCCTCAGGGCTTCATCTTTATTTTGTGCCCGGAACCCCCCTTGCAACCAATGGTTGGGAGGGGTCACAGGATAGAATGAAGGAACTCTGATTGAGAAAAAAGGCCGTGGATGAGAACACGAGGTGAGCCGTTTCGGGGTCTCGAGTCTCAAACCAGTGTGGTCGTCCACCCGTCGTCGTCGTAGTTCCACACATAGTGGGCCACGGCTCCCATTATTACTAAACTATTAACCGGTCACTGGCATCTGAGAAAATATCCACATAACATGGGTATATACAATGAAGATCCCATTTGCAGATTATGTAATGAGGAGGAGGAAACAGCCACCCATATCGTCTTCGACTGCGAAGCAACAGCTCAATGGTTAGTCAACCTAACATAAGAAAAACTTAGAGAATGAAATTGTAGCAGCGACAAGACCTAAGGAGAAGAATAGAGTCCATTGCACTAAACTAAGGAACTAGGAAGGTACAATAAGCCAGAAGGCTGCAGTACCTGGGGAGTACAAACCCTGCTTCCTAGTCTCCTTATCACCATCCCATACCATTCCGACCCTGGAAATCACTTCCTCCCAGCAGTCTTTGAGGCCTTTATGTAATAAACTGAAATTGATAACATTCTTAATAAACATTGGCGTCAGCCTGCTCGTTCAGTCATCAACATGTGTTGGTCAGTTATTAACTTCTTCACTGTCGTATTCTCATGTGAGGACCTGAAATTTGTTTGGGAAAATGATATTTGGCATATCTGATAGCTTTTGTAAACAGCATTAGAGGATGTGCGTAGTATATCTGACATGCGTAGTAAATCGGATTTACCAATGTTTCGAACGTTCTTTTCAATGTTATTGCTTTCCTTAGAGATAATTTGTTAGTGCAATTGCAAAACTAAGCATACATAACAAACTAATCGCTTACAAAACACTCATCAGACCTATTTGGACCTACGGAGTCGAGCTGTGGGGCTCGGCCAAATCATCCAATATCCTTAATGCTCCCTTCTACGTCACAAATCAAACGATCCATAAAGATCTTAAAATCCCTTTCGTGAAAGATCTTATCCATACACGCTTCTTCACTTTTCACTCTAAACTCTCCCTCCATCCTAACCCTTTAGCCCTAACTCTTTCCTCAACATCTCACCCTTACAATCCTCCACGCCGTTTAAAACGACGATGGCCTCGTGACCTTCTATCTAACCCACCAAATTAACTTTTACTCCCCCCCCCAATTAAATAAAAGTTGGTTTCTCTCCTCACTGCCTTCTGGTCTGACAGGACTAGTTTGCTCAATGTATATTATGTACAGATAGCAATAAATAAAATAAATATATAAAAAAAATAATAATAATTTAAAATAAAGAATGAAATCAACTGATCGTATGTTTGCTGTTGTTTACCTGTTGAGTAGATTACAACAGACGGATTAGCGTTTCCAGGCTAGCAAATTTATATTTTTAAGTTTTTATATTTTTAGTTGTTACGTCGATTCGATTAATAATATAAATTACCAAAACTTTGAGTGTTTGGTTGTAATATGTTGTAAAAAAACTCGATAAATGATCAGAAGATTGATTTCAAAACTAAATTGAAACAGGAGTCCTTATGATCGTTTAATGAATTCAGGATTTCATAGTTTTGACGTTGTTTAATTACAATGAGTAAAGTAGAGGGGTTATAATCTACAAACTAATTAATTAATTAAGCTCGGCTAATCGGGCATTTACCGTTTGATTGATCTGTTCTTCTGGGGTAAAGATGGCGATTTTTTTAAAAAATTAATTGCCTGTCTTTTAGACCGATAACTTTCCTACAATCTTTCCTCAAGAATATTATAATTAAATAAAAACGTCCTTAAAAATTATTGCAAATAAAAAATTATTGAATTTATATTTTGTTTTAAAAAATCATTTTTTTATTCCTCTTGAATTAATTTATTTTGGATTTTTTCCAGGCTATAGATGCATTACCATAACGCAACATTGGAGCAAAATGGACGGTCCGATGGACGAATTATTTGAGACTAATAAATTGTACGAAAATATTTAAATCAAGGAAAAAGTAAATCAGGTAAGAATATCTCGTATTATCTAAAGATTTGTTGAATGTAAATTTTAAAATAATAAATTCTCTTTTATTTCTTGATTAATTGTTAATGAACCCACACTGTTGACTGACTGCTGGGCAATTATGTATCAAAACTGACTAAACAATCGTCCCAATTTAGACCACCAATCTGTCATCTATTGGACTTACGTCAATGGACTTTGTAGTTCAACCAAACAATCCCACCTCCAACGAATCTCCTCCTTACAATCCAAAATCCTCCGAACCCACTGTACAATCATTCCCTGCACAGCTACCTCACTAACCAACTAACTCAAAGCTGTCCAGTTATTTTATATTTAACCCAGCATTTGTCATTTCTTATAAAATTGAGTGTAAAAGATCAAAGAAGTCTTATAAATTCCAGAGATTTTGATTATTGTAGAAAGGAAGGGGTTTAACACTTTTCACACGATTTACCTTTTGTACTATAATCCGCGTAAACTCCCGCATTTTTATGTCTGATTTTATTTCATTTTTGTTTCTACCACCTTTCCTTTTATGTTTTTTCTTATCTGTCGACTATATTCAAGAGTATCGGGCTGCGCCATTCTGACTGTATCGAATATAAACTCCCCTTCCCTAAAGAAAATTTTATTTCTCTTCTCGCAAATCATAACAAGATTTTCTACACTGTATTTTTCGCCTTTTTATCCGTTATTAATGCCGTAATTAAAATAAATCTTTTTAGGCTGATAGACTTATTTGTTATTAATTAATTAAGGTATTTAGTTTAGACAAAAAAAGTCAGTGACACGAGCGGAATTCGAACCCACGATCTTCGGCTAGATACGCCGCTGCTCTATCACTTGATTTTTTCAATTTTCAATTTTCTCAACCCCTCTTGAATTTCGGGGTTAAGATAGGATGTTAGTGTTCGAGTGGATCGAGGTCACGATAGCTCAAGTGGTAGAGCAGCTGAGTACCTAACCGAAGATCGTGGGTTCGAATCCCGCTCGTCACACAGACTTTTTTATCTCAAATAAAAACCTTAATTAATTGAAAGATGTTCTTTTCCGAGGATCTTCGGAAGAGGTCAAAACAGAGAAAACTTCCTTACGGTTTTCGCCGAGCTTTCGACAGTTTTATACTGTCATCTTCAGGGCCTGTTTTATTATCATATAAACAAACAATTATAACATGAAAAAACAATAATTACAATAATAATTGAATATCTTACTTTAAAACCTTAATAGGAATTTAAATAACATGGTGTTTTGGGCACAGAAGTACAATGATTTTTGTGACTCAGCATCTAAATATTAATTTAAATTGAGAAACATAAATAATTAAAAATTATACGTAAAATTACAATAACAATAAAATTAGAAACGTGGTCAAGAAAGGTTACCTCATATAAGACCAAAAAACAGGTACAAGTGATCATAGAAAACGTTTTTTAACTATATATATATTATACACAATCAAATTATCTTAAAAATTTAAACAACAATAAAGTAGGATCACAGATCAAATCAATAAAGACCGATAAAAATAAACTCTCTGTGAACGAGGGGAAACAAAGGCTACGGGAAAACAAACGTTTTTTTCTCTCCTAGTTAACAATAACCGTCACCACTCACCAGGGCGATGTTCTCCTTTCCCTCCTTTGTTTAGAAATCCTGTATTCATTTAGGAGGCCTGCAAAGACCGAAATGGATCCCAATCTATCAGTTTGTAGATTACAGGTATTTGGGGTGACACTTATATATATACTTTTTCGATCAATAATCTCCTTTCCAAGTTCGACTCCACGGACAAAATTTTCGGGGAGTCGAACTTGAAAAAGTGATTATTGTTTAACGCATGGGTGGCAAGTCCAGATATCTTTTTTTTATTGTCGCAATCCAACCTGTGTTGGTTCAACCGCGCAGACAATTTTTGCTTTGTTTGACCTACATAGTTGACATTGCATTCACCACATGACACCTGATAGACCACATTGCAATGTGATCCGATTGGTTCTTTTGTTTTTAGATTTGCATGTAATACATTTAGGTTGTTCTTATATTTACATGCAATACCTACATCCCCAACCTTATGTCTGAAGAGTCTTTTTAATTTTTGAGACACTTCAGGTATATATGTGATAGACTTGAAAAAAATGGGTTTTGCCAACCCGTTATTTACCATCTCGATTTGTTGTACCATCGCACTTTGGTTTGGAAAAACATTTTCAACATTTATAGAGTTATTTGTCATTTCGACATTGCCATTACTAACATTAACTTGATTATGCCTGAATTCAGTAATTAGTCTCTTGATCAATGCCACCGGGTAATGGTTATTTTTAAGTAAATTGAAAATTAGTTTTACATTCTCTTCCAAAAACTTTCTGTTACTTAGACCCAACACCCTACTGATTAGGTTCTTGGCACAATTTATCTTTAGTGAAAAAGAATGTGCAGAGTTGAAATCAAAATATCTTCCCCGATTTATTGGCTTACTATACCAGTTAGTGACCTCTTCCGAAGATCCTCTGAAAAGAACTTCTTGTATCCAGCAGGTCGATAATCTATTTTCATCGTTAATTGAAAGATATTAATTGGTCAAGCGGACCACGAAAACTGGTGAATTTGTTATTAACGTTGTACGCACAACAGCAACAGTGTATTGAAAGAATTAGGAAAATCATGCAGCATTTCCAACGTCTCCGAGGGCATTTATGATGTATTTTATTCTTTTTTCTTCCCAGTAGTTAATTTTCAGATATTTTACGGTGGTTTTTTGTACTAAATGCAAGTGTATTAAGTGTTAAATTTATTATTTATTACTGGTTGTTAATGTTACTTTGAATATTGATGTTCAATACAGTGCTGAGGGTATTAACTTAAACTGTGTTAATCGTGTTAAAGTAGAAAATTTTTGTTGAGTATCTCGCTAACTAATAACATACTCAACTACAGCCCTTTCTGGGGTCAGCTAGCTTGAGTGCCTATGTAATTGATTTCAAAGTTAGTCTTTGTGAATATAAGAAAGAAAAAGTTAGATTGAAAATAGGCCGTTACAAAATGGAAGTACGGAGAAATTCTTTACTCACGAACTTTCTGGATCAAGGTCTTGAAGGAAAAAGCAAATTCCGTTATTACTGCCATGTTTTCGACCTTTTTTTATATCATCATCAGGGCAAAACAATCATATAAATGTATATATGATTAAATATCATGTAATGTATGTACTAAAAATCGCTAATGTACAATTCTTAACAAGTACACACAAGAAAGTATGCTACTATGGTGTGAAACAAAAACAAATTATCATCCGCGACAACCAGCAGGCAGTCGGACGTTGAGCTCTCCTGTAGAACAAGTAATTAGTTTGCTTTATTTTTACTCCAATTAATTAAGGTTTTTTGGTTGTGATAAAAAAGTCAATGGCACGAGCGGGATTCGAACCCGAATTTGTCGCCGAGAATCCAATCCGATTACACGACATTTGAAAATGGCAAAGAGGAGGGAAAATTCAAAAAGTGGGGTAGAGGTGGGAAGTTGGTGTCCGAGTGGATCGAGGTCACGATAGCTCAAGTGGTAGAGCAGCGGCGTATCTAGCCGGATCGTGGGTTCGAATCCCGCTCATGCCATTGACTTGTTTATCTCAACTAAAAACCTTAATTAATTGTAATATATTAATTGGTCAAGCGGACCACGAAATTAGTGAATTTAATGAATTAAAATGAAGAATACTTCACTAAAGCTCTCCGTGGCCATTTCATTTGTCATTATTTTTATTTGATGATGGCATTTGTACACTATCAGCGCATTGTTTAAGGTGTGTATCTGTCTTTAAAAAATATGGGTTCATTTTGGTATAATAAATTAATACTTAATGTACTTTTATGTAGTTTTATTTTTAAAATGATTTTACAATAGTTCAAATGGTTAGAGCATCGGGGTATTGGGCTGAAAGTCGCGGGTTCTTGACACTAACTTTTTCATCTCTACCAAGACCTTACATAAAAAAAATAATTTATTGAATTTGGTCAATTAGAAATAAGAAGAACGTTTTAAACTTGATAAATTCAGTGTGTAAATTTATTCATTTTTTAAGGACTGGTTTAACTGGTGTGTTCTGTTTCAGAAAATGGAGGACACGTCACTGGAGGACCATTACAACCTGACAGAAGAATATGTCCCCTACGAGGAAAGGTTGGAGACGTACATCGTGCCAGTCGTTTTCGCCATGATATTCCTTGTCGGGGTGCTTGGCAACGGGGCACTGGTGCTCATCTTCGTCAGGCACCGCACTATGAGAAACGTGCCAAATACGTACATCCTGAGTCTGGCTTTGGGTGACCTGCTGGTCATCGTGACGTGCGTCCCATTCACCTCGACCCTGTACACGATCGAATCCTGGCCGTACGGCGATTTCGTCTGCAAGCTGTCCGAGGTGACGAAGGACGTTTCGATCGGAGTGTCCGTCTTTACGCTGACCGCTTTGAGCGCCGAGAGGTACTGCGCTATAGTCAACCCGATACGCAGGCACATATCGACTAAACCGTTGACGATTTTTACCGCCGTAGCCATTTGGATATTGTCTGTCCTTCTCGCTTTACCAGCCGCAATTTTTTCCAACGTACGGACGGCTGACCTCACGGATAACAAGACCATATATTATTGCACTCCTTTTCCAGAAAAGTACGGGACGCCTTACATTCAGGGCGTAGTGATGTTCAAATCATTCGCGTACTACGCCGGCCCGCTTTTCATAATAGGAGGCTTTTACGTTCTCATGGCGAGACATTTGGTCTTGAGCACAAGGAACATGCCAGGGGAGTTGCAGGGGCAATCGAACCAGGTCAGGGCGAGGAAGAAAGTGGCTAAGATGGTATTGGCCTTCGTCATCATATTCATCGTCTGCTTTCTGCCGTACCACATATTTATGCTGTGGTTCCACTTCTCTCCGAGCGGGGAACAGGATTACAACCGGTTTTGGCATACTTTTCGAATAGTGGGCTTCTGCCTGAGTTACATCAACTCCTGCATCAATCCGATCGCCCTGTATTGCGTCAGCAAAGCCTTCAGGAAACACTTCAACCGCTACTTGCTCTGTTGGTGCAAGCACAACGAGCGCAGCGACGACATGTCCATGGTCCACAGGAACAGCTCGTCGAGACACGCTCGGCAGAATTCCATTATAACGAGTCACTATGTCATCAGCCATTCCGAAAAGACTTGACATTCCCTTTGCTGTCGATCGAGCAATTCGCGTTAAGTTAGTTAATTTTTTAACTTATTATCTACTTAACTTATTTTACTATTAATTTAGTAGAGTAGAGAAAGTAGTAGTTAGTCGGATCGATTTTACTATTGTGTTCTTGTTTCATAATTACAATGACGACCAATCTTCTTCGTTCCAATTCCGCTTACCTAGTCAAAAATACCTACAGAACTTTGGTATTTTAAAGGTATCATCGATTTTCACTTTTCAAGTGTCATTTAGGGTTAAAACGAAAATTAGTATTTATTGAATGTTTGTAATCGTGCATTTTTTCTTTGACAAATTTTAAATAATTTTAGTGGGTGAAGTGGGCACGATCTCTTTTTATTGTCATCACAGCCGACGTTAAATATCTCAAGTTCAATTCAACAAAAATGTATTTCATATAATTGCATGTATTTAAATTGTTTAAGGTTGTTGTAACCAACACCGATCTCGAAACATTACCCGAATTATAGTAGCGACGGTTGCCAATAGTTAACATTCCTTTGGCAAATATTGAACTGAAATTTCGTCATGCTAGGTTGGTTTGTCAGAAGCATTTCGTAAATTCGCCATATTCAGTTAGTCTGTGTGAATCTGTGAAGTCAAATCTCTTTTATAAAATCTTGAGTTTTTACGCCATTATCTTTATTTATCGGCGCCAATGATGATTTATGTCTGAGGGTTTTTTATTGTAGTAATTGTTATTGGTAAAGTGTTTGGAATGGTGTAAATAGTGTATGTGAACTGTCGGTTGTGTATTAAATGTGTTATATTTGTATATTTTTATGTATGTTTATTTTTCGTCCTTTTTATACGTTGTATAGTAGTTACCACTTGCCCTGTTGAAAATTCATGTTAGTTTTCTGTGAGGAGAGTCGCGCAGTTGAATTTTCCCTCCTTGGCCCTAAACGATATTTTCTGTTATTTGTATTTGTCTTTTATTTTTCGTGTTCTTATTTTGCATTCGCGAAATGAAGAAACGCGAAGACCAAGCCAGAGAGGATAGACAGACCAACATGATCAGCAATCTTCGAATTTCAGTTCATCACACTGCATACAGCATAAAAAAATCTCACAAGTGTTAAACTGTTTGTAAAACTTAAGTAATTATTCTTACGCATTGAATGATTGAGAGATGAGATTTATTTAATAGTTACTTTTGTGTATTGATGTTAGTGATACAGGTAAAAATAATTACACGAATTATTGAATAAATTTCATATGTCATACATATTACTAATTACCAGTGTATAGATGAATGCTTTAGAACAAATTTTGGTTCAAAACTTTTTTTTTTCAACTAGTAACATTATATCGCCAAAAATTATAAATGTTTTTCATTCTTTAAAAAGCATGTAATAATGTCTATTATAATGTAATAATAGCTATACATTTTTCTTTGTAAATATATTGTTTTTTGACAGTCAACTGTGTGACTGAATATTAGTTATTAATTTCGACTAAGTGAATTTGATTTTTCTTTTAATTTTTGGTTATTTCAGGCTGATTGAACAAAGCAAAAACTATTTTCGTTTCATGTACGTGCATAATTAAAACGAAATTAACCCTATTTTTCCCAATGTTGAGTCAGGGCAACACCAAATTTATCTAATTTGTTAAAGCTAAATAATCCCAAGGGTTTAAGGCAGGTGCAGTGGTTTTTCTTTCATTGTTTCATCTTTTGTATTGACAACACTGATTTTGTTGGCGCCGATCTTGGTATCTTCTAAATGTAACATGTCTCCCACCACCACTACTTAGTATCCATTGTTATATTTGCCCAACATTAAATTTTTCATATCCAGTTTATAATTCAACCCAAAGTTGTTTCAGAGCAATTTTAACTTTAGCAATTTTGTTTACGGTTTGCAGGAAATCATTGGGTTCAGGGCGGGCGCAATGTGGTTCCTGCTCTGAGCCCGTGTATTGGCGACACTGATTTATCTGGCGCCAATCTAAACTCTCTACCACTAAACTCACGGGATATCCCGCTATACTTTTAATAAAATTGCTCTAAGACAATATTACGCCATAAGGGATTAACCAAAAAAGATCTATAAAATATGATAAATAATATTTGGGCTATAATGTTATTTTTGTAATATATTTGATATATTTTCAATAATATTGAATGTGAATGAATGAGAAACGAATTTTATCATATGTTATCAGTGTTCTCTTGCAGTATAGGTAGATTTATAAAAGTTGATAGCTTCAACCAATAAAAATTAATTAAAATATTTCCAATATGTTTTCTTTCTATACATAATGTTATATAAATATAGTAAAAAGTGTTTTTATTGTAAAAGTGTATTATAAAATCGTCGTAACTGTCATCCGTAATGTATATACGCTAAAGTCTGTAAATTTGAATGAAGAGAAATATTTTACATATACTGAAATTAATGAAATTTCTACGAATTCTGTTTGTCCCATTTTTTAAAGTAAAATTTTTTGCCTATCAATGGAAAACTTTAACATTACGAGTTAGATTTTATTTACAAAAACTTTTATTTTTAATAAAGGATATAAAATTCAAACTTTGTGAAATTGTGTGTGAAACTAATTGTACAATTAAAACAAAGATAAAGCATTTTTAAACAATAAGTGTATTTTAGATTTAGTGAAAATTTAGCTATTAGAATGGGGAAGATAATACGCAATATGACTTATTTAGAAATTGAATAAATATAATTCGTGCGTAAAATGTTTTTTAGCCGTCTTTATATTCGAAATTAAATGTTATTTTTGCACTGTGTGTGGATGACAGAATCAACTTGTATTCTCTTGTACAATAAGTGAAACAAAAACCAAAATTTAACTTGTTTTTTTTTCGTTACAATAATTCAAAGACATGGTATTGTTTGTATAATTGTATAGTATTTTTACCATAAAAATTATGTAAATATTTTAATTCTAAAAATTGTATTATAATATTTTGAAATTATTAAACAATTATTACTATTAGTAAATAATATATATATACCAATTCTCATCTGTATGAATAATTCTACAGGGTTTACAATTCATTACAATCTATTGGTGTAAATATAATGTATCCATAAATGTTGTGATTAAGGTTACTTTTAACTTATTATAATTCGATGTTTGAAATATTTTTTTTTTATATAGCAAAAAAATTAACCACACCCAGAGAATTTTAAAGACCTTTATGCTCAACTATTTATTTACATCGAAATCACACGCCTACTCATGTTTGGTGTGTACATTTGTTAAATGGACATATTTTAAGTAAATATATAGCGTTTGTGTCTGTTGCAATTTATTTATGTGAGATCACAGAATGATTACCTAAATTTAACTAGGGCCAACAAGTCATCCAACTGTATTTTTAAAAAAAGGATTCGGACGAAATATTAGAAAATTTTCTTCTGCTCCAGTTTATTTTTTATTTTAATATCGAGGAGCTTTTAGCTGATCAATATTTTTGCTTACCTATTCTATATTTGACCTGTACGAGATTATTAATGATATAAAACCAATTCCCAATGAAGTCATAATAATTTTTTTTAAATTTGTTATTACTGCTTATTAGCTATGCGTAATAGTTATTAAGTAAAGAACTAGCAAAGAATTCAGTCACTTATTAACTATTAACTGATTATTATTTTTTTTTTTTTTTTTTTGCGAGGGTTCGCTACAGCAGAGGTCATACAAACCCTCAAGGTGTCGGTGTTTTTGAAAATTTGTAAGTATTAAAATTAATTAAGGTTTTAGTTGAGATACAAAAGTCAATGGCACGAGCGGGATTCGAACCCGAATTTGTCGCCGAGAATCCAATCCGATTACACGACATTTGAAAAATGGCAAAGAGGAGGGAAAATTCAAAAGGGGGGGGGTTGAGATGGGAAGTTGGTGTCCGAGTGGATCGAGGTCACGATAGCTCAAGTAGTAGCGCAGGGCGTATCTAGCCGAAGGTCGTGGGTTCGAATCCCGCTCATGCCATTGACTTTTTTATCTCAACTAAAAACCTTAATTAATTGTAATATATTAATTGGTCAAGCGGACCACGAAATTATTGAATTTAATGAATAAAAATGAAGAATACTTCGCTAAAGCTCTCCGTGGCCATTTCATTTGTCGCCGAGAATCCAATCCGATTACAAGACATTTGAAAAATGGCAAAAAGGAGGGAAAACTCAAAAGGTGGGATTGAGATAGGAAGTTGGTGTCCGAGTGGATCGAGGTCGCGATAGCTCAAGTGGTAGAGCAGCGGTGTATCTAGCCGAAGATCGCGAGTTCGAATCCCGCTCGTGCCATTGACTTTTTTATCTCAACTAAAAACCTTAATTAATTGTAATATATTAATTGGTCAAGCGGACCACGAAATTAGTGAATTTGTAAGTATGCAGGGCCGCTGGATTTGAACCTGGGACCTTTACCTTACAGTGATCAGCGCCGTGTCAACGCCTAAACCGTTGCAGCAACGACGCCCCTATTAATTGATTAATTATTTGTTACAAGTTGAATGATACGTAATAGATGTCGGTAACACAGAAATAATTGGCGAAATGTACAGTGATTTTAGTCAAAATCAAAGCGCATTCTTCAAAATCGATCGAGGTTTCTAAGCCTAGTTCAATATAAACTATGCTTCTGAACGATATTGGACATTGTTTCGCAACAGTGGGAGGCGTTGTTTCCGATAACCTATACATTGTTTCTCGTCAAGTCTTCATGTTATCTATACCAGAAATATGTGTTGCTGGAATGAAGAAATAACGAAAATTGAGAAGGTGATAAAATGCCACTGATAGAAGGTACTAGTAATGACAGTGTGCTTATGAAAACTGCCAAAGCTTTTTTGCTTGTGATCGAAAGAAAAATATCACGAAAATTACCCAACCATTGTGATTTTAGGTTATGCACTTTCTCAACAATCTCAGTGAAGGGGGTCAGACCCTTCGATTCTCAAGGAATATCTAGTACCCGGGAAGGAGGACAAGGAATGAATGTTGTTTTGATGGTTTTTACTGTCTTGAATGAAACGGGTGACTGAAAAAGTTCAGATTTGAATCGAAGTACGATTGACTGTGCTTTATTTGATCAAAAGAAGAGATTCTGATGAATATGGAAGCTCTGAGGCAGATAGTAATTTATTAGCCTGAATGGAGGGGATTTTTTCAGTTATCATGAGAAATTCAAGTATTTTCCCACGAATGTGAATGAAATGTGGTGAGTGAATGTAATTGAAGAAATGTGTGGTGATTAGTGACCGTTCATCGATAATTATTCAGAAATCGTGGGATGCACCAGACCGCATCTCACGATTTCTGAATAATTAGTAATTGAAGAAGTTCTTCGTCAGATATCCCTGAGTAAAATATAATACTCTGATGCAGTGCGAATGAAGTCTAGTTGTGAATGTAATTAATTAGCATTTGAGGAGGAGCTTTTTTTACAATTAACCCAAGGAATATCAAGTATTCTGGAGCAGAGTAATGAAGTCTGATGAGTGAATGTAGTATATTGGCGATCATAAGAGACTTCTTCCCACTTACCCTGAGTAAAAAAGAGTGATCTGAGGCAGTGTGAGGGTTTTTAAATTGATGTATTTTTTTTATATGTATATATTATATATTCTTGTCTGACAATCTTTGAGGTAGAGGGAGAAGCTGCCAATAGAATAAGGAAACAAAAGAGTCAACAATGATAATATGCAAAACAGAGCAGCAGATAACTTGCAATAGCTGGAACGTCAGAAAAATGAATTATTAATTAAAACAGAAGAAGAAAAGGAGCAGGACAGTAATGAAAGGGCTGAGCAGGGAGGTTATCAATGTGGGCGTATCATTAATTATCGTGACACCACTTTTCATGTAAACTTTCTACGCATAATTTAGTCTATTTGTAACACCCCATAATCTTCTTGCACTTTGTTTTCAATTACTTGTACAGTTCAAGTTGTTTTCGCATGGAAGGCACTAATAGCAAACTAATCCGAGATCTCTGCTTGAGTGAACTGTTTTTAAACACGCCCGGCTTTTTCAATGTTGCCAGTGTTTAAACGGGAAAGAAGTAACTCGGCTATTATTCTTTAGAAACATCTCCGGCACAGACCTGAAACCAGGTAAAACCAAAGTTTACAAAGTTTAGGTGTTCAGGAACAATGTAAACATTGTTTACAATCCGGGTCAGGCTTTACGAGTTCATCCGACATTCTGTAAATTAGAGATAAAGGATTCGTGCTTTAAAACGTTCAATTCATTATTATTTGAAGACTATATTAAAGTCGTTTATAAAAACAAGAGTGCAATTATTGTATAACAAAAGTTCTATCATTTGTGAAAGCAAGAACGTGTAAAACATAAAAGGTACAAGGAAATTCCTAGACTATTTTTGTTTAATTCCCAACCTTATTTTAGTGTTAAACTGTCTACTATAATACGTATGTTAATGGAATAAGTACTAGAGTTTAACAACTACGCCTTTGTTGTTGATATAGATTAGTCGTTCCTACCAAGCGATGGTGGACTTCGGGGATTTTGCAGAACATTTCAGCCACCAAAGCATGCTAGTTTATATAATTAAACGTTTATTAACACAAAAGCCGGGAACACACTTACCCGATCAAACGCTATGCGACGCTACCCGACGCAAATCCAAAGTCCAATTTTCCATAAGGTTGTATTACCCCCGTGCACATCTGCTATGCAACGCTACCCTACTCTTCGCTCTGCGATCCCCACTGTCCAGATTTTCGTCGGGTAGCATCGAGTATAGTCGAAGACAAACCGACCCGACACTTATATTTTTATTCAAACTACATGTATTATTGTCGTTATATTAAATACAACATACTTATTGTAATATAAACCAAATTAAGAGAGGTCAAAAATTCATTAGTTTTTATTTTAAAAAAATAAATAATTTTAATGGTTTGGTAGAAATGTGTGATGATTAGTGACTGATAATCGATAATTATTCAGAAATGGTGTGATGTAGGTTTTAGAAAAACATTTTCTTTATCGTGTCAACGTTTCGATCTTTATTGAGATCATCTCCAGGGCCTGGGATTTACAAACATTGTTTACATTTAACAAATACATTTAGGATGTGGAAAAGTGAATTTATACAATGCAAAATACATTTCTTCTATTCAATCAAAGTATTTCTACTCACTCAAAGTGTTTGTCTTCTGTGTAATTGTGCCAATCTTGCGTGTCGTGTCGAGAGAGCCAGTGAGATTTTGCTATTTTGCGGTTATATACGTTGGATTTTGAAGGGGTGGGGAAGGATGTCGGTATAGAAAAGACATTTTTGTATAGTCGGCTTCTTTGAGGTGAAAAGATCTGACGAAGGGAAAAAATGTGTTGGTAATGGTTCGGCCAGATTATCCTTTCAGGATTATATAGAAAGGGATAAATAGGAAAAGGAAAGCTAAATTGTTGGACAGTTAGACTATGAAAAATAATTGATGTGTGGAATGTAATGCAATTATATGTATGTTATCTATATTGAATTTGATTAATGATATTGGCGTAGCTGCGACTAAGTTTACATGTATGTTTTGTAATTGATGCTGTGTTTATCTCTGTTGATATAAACCATTTCTAAGAAATTACGTTTATGTTTGTTTTGTTCTGTATGTAATATTTTTGGATTTTTGAAGTCGAAATTGTGTTGGTGTTCAAAATGGTGGGTAGCGGTGCTGTAGGATTTTGCTTGAGTTTTTTGCAATCATAGATATGTTGTTTTACTCTCTTGTCCAGATATTGGAATGTAAGACCGATGTAAGTTGCCGGACAGTTTAAACAATTGATTTTGTAGATTAAGTCAGATTTATTTGTTATTGGTGTGGGATATTTAATTTTGGAAAAAAGGGTTTGGATTGTTTTCTAATTTTTGAAAGCTATTTTGAAGTTATCGTACGAGAGAAATGTGTTTAATTTATGTGATAGGCTTTGAATAAATGGCATGGAAATGTATGCTGGTTTGTTTGTATTTGATAGACTTAATGTAGTATTATTAGTAATAGTGGATGGTGTTAGTGTTGAGTTGAAATTAGTGATTATTATGGTAATAATGTGTTTAGGGTAGAGATTGTTATGGAGGATCTGTTTGTATATCTTTATGTTCTTGTGGTGAAATGATTCATGGCTCCCTTTGGCCGTGTTTGTTATTGTATGAAAGGATGGTGAGGTGTAAAGTTGAGGTAGTGATCTGTGTTTCTTGGTTTTTGATACCAATCTGTGATTAATGTGCCATCTGGTTGTTTTACGAGTGTATCTAAAAATGGTATTGTTTTGTTGTATTCGATTTCATGTGTAAATTGTAGGCGTGGGTGAAAGCTATTAAATGTATCTAATGTAGTAGATTTGATCTGTGGGAACAGCTGTCAATATATCATCTACGTATTTAGTGAGGAAGGGTACTGTGAAAGGAAGTTGTGGTATGACTGTATTTAATAGATGTGTCATGAATATGTCTTCCTTTATCGGGTCTAGGTTGCTATCCATGGCTATACCAAATAGTTGTTTGTAAAATTGATTGTCGTATGTGAAGTATCCGTTAACACAGCAGTGTCGGATCATTGTTACGAACGTGTTCTTTGATAGAGTTGTGTGTGGTGTTATGTTGGGCCATTTATCGTTAATAATATTCAGTGTTGTGTCTATGGGAATGGTAAACAATGATGAAACATCTAGGGATATGAGAGAGTAGTGTGAGGGGATGTGGATATTATTAATTTTGTTAATGAAATGAAATGAATCATTTACATTATATGTGTTATCTGTGATGTTGTTGAGTATGTTGGTTAGGTATTTTGTCATGTTATATGTGGGTGAGTTTACAAATGAAATTATGGGTCTTTGAGGGTGTTCGGGTTTATGTCTTTTTACAGATCCATATAGTTTCTGAGGTGTTGGTGAGTTGTTTTGAAGTGATTCGAGTGAGTAGAAAACTTTGATTGAATGTAAGAAATATATTTTACATTGTATAAATTCACTTTTCCATATCCTAAATGTATTTGTTAAATGTAACCATGTTTGTAAATCCCAGGCCCTGAAGATTATCTCAATAAAGATCGAAACGTTGGCACGATAAAGAAAATGTTTTTCTGAAACTTACATCACACCAGACCGCATCTCACGATTTCTGAATAATTAGTTTGGTAGAAAATTCATTAAAATATCGGAATACCATTTTTTGATATATTGAGTTTTATATAACAATTTATTACACGGTTTTGCTCATAAAACATAATTAACAATTTATTTCATGGTTTTGCTCATAAAATTACACCATTTTCGTCGAGTTGCGTCAGAACAGGACACTCATATTTTTTGTAGTTTATTTCAAACTATGTATATGTAATTTTATCATTATATTAATTACAACATTCTTATTTTAATGTAAACCAAATTAAAAGAGAGAACAAAAATTTATAAGTTTTTATACAAATTATTTAATTGTGATGGTTAGGCAGAAAATTTATCAAAACACCGTAATAACTATATTTAAAACCATTAAATTTAACTAACAATTTATTACATTGTTTCGCTCAAAATAATACATTAAAAACAAAAGAGGCGTTGCGATTTTCATACTGATTATTGTGATACACTCTGTATGGCTGTACGTGGCGTGCGCTTGACATCGTATAGATGTGCACACCCTACCAAAACGTGACAAGGCGTCGGGTAGCATCGAGTAGTGGCGCTAGCGTTGCATGGGGTAAGTGTGTTCCCGGCTTAACACTTCAATATTACAATCCGTTAACATTTGTTCTATATTTTCTATGCACAAGCTACAAAACTAATTCATCAAGGACCTGGTCTACTCAATATATCGTGAACTGTATCGCACTACACAATAAATTGTTAAATTCACTATTTTCGTGGTCCGCTTGACCAAATAATATATTACAATTAATTAAGGTTTTTAGTTGAGATAAAAATGTCAATGGCACGAGCGGGATTCGAACCCACGACCTCGGCTTGATACGACGCTACTCTACCACTTGAGCTATCGTGACCTCAATCGACTCGGACACCAACTTCCCATCTCAACCGCACCTTTTGAATTTTCCCTCCTTTTTGCCATTTTTCAAATGTCGTGTAATCGGATTGGATTCTCGGCGACAAATTCGGGTTCGAATCCCGCTCGTGCCATTGACTTTTGTATCTCAACTAAAACCTTAATTAATTTTAATACTTACAAATTTTCAAAAATACCTTGAGGGTTTGTATGACCTCTGCTGTAGCGAACCCTCGCAAAAAAAAAAAAAAAATAAATAAAGTTGCAAAGGGTGCGGTTGAGATGGGAAGTTGGTGTCCGATTGGATCAAGTTCAAGTGGTAGAGCAGCGGCGTATCAAGCCAAAGATCGTAGGTTCGAATCCCGCTCGTGCCATTAACTTTTTTATCTCAACTAAAAACCTTAATCAATTACAATAAATTGTGATAAAAGCCTGCATAATATTGGGTATAATTTCTAGTATCTACTCCCCATAAGGAGCCAAAAATGATTCTTCTTAATTAGGTAGGATAGATATCGAAAACAAACGCTTAACTAAAAATCTGAGAATGTTTTTTTTTTATCATTTCAATCAATTTAAAGATCAATATCGATATTTCATTACATATTCATCTTGAGTTATTAATAATAAATTTGCAGTGATAAGTCATTACTGTCAAGCAGTCTTGCATGTTCGTAACATGACTTAACGTTTTACACACTTTAAAATCAATTCCTAAAGCTTGCAGAACTATTGAATACTAATATTTTGCAACAAAATGTTAAAAACCAAATGAAACCGGAAATTTCTCTCGAGTAAATAAATTATTAGAATGACATTAAAAAAAATTGAAACAAACATTCTCTAGAAGAGTGGAAGGACGTTTCAACTGTAAGTAAATTGGGGAATAGATTCTACTTCGAACGGGTGTCAGTCTTATAAGTCCGGCATCTAAAGAAAAATAAACACAGAATAAGACGAGAAACGACAGTCTAGCAAACAAATATTAAGTAAATGTACAACTTCTATTTAAACGTTTCATCTAAATGTACAGGCCATATTTTACCATGGTGAGTTCCTTAGCAATACAAAAAGGGTTAACCCTTCTGTAAAACTGTATTTGGAGAATGAACACCCAAAACCAGAGGCAGGCAAAAGACTTTGTCAAGAAAGTTTCACACAATGTTGCCCTGTTTGCTGCTGTAAAAGAAAAAAATTCTTAAGTTCACTAATTTCGTGGTCTGCTTGACCAATTAAATCATTACAATTAATTAAGGTTTTTAGTTGAGATGAAAAAAAGTTAATGGCACGAGAGGGATTCGAACCCAAACTCATAAGGTGGGGTTGAGATGGGGAGTTGATGTTCGAGTGGATCGAGGTCACGATAGCTCAGGTGGTAGAGCAGCGGCGTATCTAGCCTAAGGTCGTGGGTTCGAATCCCTCTCGTGCCATTAACTTTTTTCATCTCAACTAAAATCCTTAATTAATTGTAAAAATTCTTAAGATTGCAGGTCTGGTAAATAGCTGAATAGAAGACATAAGGGAATTTCGGGAGTGGCTAAAGACAGTTTATGTTGGTCCTGCGAGGAAGAGGAAACCTAACAACATACCTACAACTGCAGGTATAACAAAGAATTTTGTACTCACGGGCAAATAAATAAGTGACCATAATGCTATCTCCTATGCAGGCCATCGGCCATTCACGGCGCTGTGGGCATGTGATTTTGAAGTTACATTACAAATTTGGAGATCTTGACGAAATCATATGACTGTTCGATAATCTGGAATTGGTGGAAATTGCGATAGCTTGAGCGGTAGAAACAGAAGAAAGGGAGTTAGAGGAAGTGCTGTCCTTNCCATCTTTCTTGCCATGATGCCCTTGTCATTTTTCCCAAGTACTCTTTTGCCTCCTCCCCAGTTGTGCTTCGGAACCAGTCTATTTCTCCTTGGCTTGCTACTATATCAATTGCCTCATTTTTCTTTTTTTTTGGTGGATGACCACCCTTTCTTTAAGGGCTAGGTCTATTGACGCTGCGTTGGCTATTACGTAGGGTGTGTGTTGAAATCGTCCTGTACCCTTTTGTGGTTCTTATAAGAGCTATTCGTTGGCTTTGCTCTATTATAGCTTTGCTTTTGCTAGGCAGTCGTTTGGCCCATCCGGCAGCACCATAACCAGCTATTGGGAGGAAGACACTTTATAAATTGTGGAGAGCGCTTTTGTGCTAAGTCCATATTCCACTTTCGCTATTCCGTTCAATCTTTTGTACACCCTTCTTGTCGTTTCCCTTATTTTAATAGCGTGGTGTACTTGGTTCAGGTTATCGCCTAATACTACTCCCAAGTACTTGGCTTGATCGCTTGGCTTTACTCGTTTTCCCTCTATCCGGATGTATGGGGGGGTACCCATTTTCCCTTTGAGCATTAGGGTTTGGCACTTTTTAGGGGCTACCGGAAGTGAGGGTTATCAACTTTTCGTCATCACTTACTTAATTCCGGCAAAAACCAAAGAAAGTAAATACACATGCTTGTGTTCTTCGGAAGAAACAAAAAAACCACAATGCTTGACCCAGACTGTAGCTGTATCGCCCACGTGATCTAGGTTTACATTTTGGACAGCCCTGGCCATCCCAGTCGGATTATAAACACTACCAGGCTAAATAAATTTAACAGATGGTTTTTCGGGCCCCGACTCGTTTTAACATAAATTACCATTAATACCTTGAAACTAGACAATAAACAATAGTCCAGGAAATTAACAGAAAAAATATTTAGCAAACAAAGGAATTTTTTCGGAGGTTTGATTTGTATATTTTTTAATTAATATTTGACATTCCTTGCACTGAACAACATTTTCAGCGACAGCAGTCTTAGGAAACGAAAACCAGAACTGTGTCACAGTTCATATTTTTAAATCTTGCCATATTCTGTTGTTTATTTCTTGTGCGTCTGAAATTTTTATTTATTAATTCATTGTATGTTACGGGGATTTTGAGCAGAATTGCTTACCTAGTTTTGGGTAGTGCCTGGTAAGAGTTCTGTATTTCGTCCTTACCATCCATTCATTGACAGCTTTCTTTGATTGTTCCTGTTTCTCACGCTCTTCAGCCTCTCTCGCCAGTTTTTTAGCTTCTTTTTCTCGAATTTTCGCTTTAAATAAAAAAACAATAATGCATTTGCGTATTGGGTACATTTTAGGGATGCGGCTCACCTAATCGGTCTTCTTCTTTTTTTTCCAGCCATTGGCTGAACGTCAGAGTCGTGTCTTTTTTACAGGCGTAGAACTCGGTGATGTCCGCCACCCTTTGCTCCTCTTTCGACAATTCCACTTTCCCCTTGCACCTGTTCAGCTCTTCGGATAAAATTTGTTTCGCCGGTTCCTTAAAAATTGATGATTTATATAAAAAGCTGAATGGAGTTTTATCCTAGACGTTTACATTAGGAAGAGAAAATTTCGAAACCTTTGCAGAGTCCTGCTTTGCCCTGAGCCACGTTTTAATAGCTTCATTTTTCTTAATTCTTTCTCTTTCCAGTGACTCGTTCTTTTTTAATTTCTCTTTATCTAACAGCTCGTTCTTTCTCATCCGCTCTCTTTGATCGTTGAGGGCATCCAACCTGGACTGCCGTGCTTCCATATCTTTTCTGGCTTTCCACTCTTGAAAAGTGTCTCCTTTTATTGTCTGAAATCGTTTAATTAATAAAAAAACGATACCCCGGCAAAATTATGAAACTAATGTCTAAAGCTGTGTATTTTAATTCTAGGAGAAAGAGAAAACACCAATTACTCACTCTGCTCCTTCGCAACATCTCAAAATTATTTCATTTAAAATTTAGTAGAATTTCCAACTTAAACGTTTTTACCCAAACATATGATAAATATTATGTTTTACAAACATTACATTTAAAATTTCAACAAATATCTAGATGATAGTTTTAAAAATGTAATATTAATAATGTATTCGTGAAAATAATAAAAGAAAAAATCAATAATCTGAATTTGCGCGTCGCTTATTTAAGCTATTTTACTAGTTTACTAGTACTATATTTACCAGTTCCATTTCTAATATAAGAAGCTTTTTAAAAAAAAATTCTAACAGAAATCGTTCGGTTTTGTAATATAAATACAAAAAAGTTTTACCTTAACAAGGAAAATATCAAAATGTAAAAGTATGCTATGTTGTTGTTGTATATATGTTTGTCGTGTTTGCTAAAATACTCAAACTTGTTTGCATATGTTTTTTTATATATAGGTGCGTTGTGTATTTTCTTCTCATAAGAGTTTGATTGGTTATTTGACCAAACAGCTACGTAAAAGTACCTTGCAAAAAGCCAAAATGACAATTTAGCCTAAAAATCACTTATTTTCCATTCGGAAATGCATTTAGTAGCATAAGATAATAATGCTTTTAGTCGTTTAAAGTCAACCTGGTCCGTGTGTAATCGCTGTTTTCATCTGGCGGATATTTTTCTCAGCATTTCCTGACCTGAACCGAAAATTGTTTACAAAGCAAAAATAGATGTGTAGAAAGATGGATAAATGTCTTGATTTTTCATACAATATACAATACGATTATTGTATTAGGATACATTATAATATATTTAGTATGTGAACAATTGAATTTTTAGCATAGAAATTTAGAGAAAGATCAATCCAACTAATCTTTAGTGATTTTTTTCTTCCTTAATTAAATACATTTTTATTATAAATACCTTTATTTACTTGATGGAAAAAAAGTACGTATAGCACGTATTAAGTAAAACAGTAAAAGTAAGAATACATATATCATAAAAATACAAGAGGAGTTGAAAAGGAAAAAATGTAAATAAATTATATTATTAACGATAATAAAAATAACACTAAAATTTCATGATTATGTAATATAATAAAGAAAATTATTCAGATATCGTGAGATGTGTCAGGTGTGATGTAGGTTTCAGAAAAACATTTTCTTTATCGTGCCAACGTTTCGATCTTTATTGAAATCATCCTCAGGGCTCAAAGTGTTTGTCTTCTGTGTAATTGTGCCATTCTTGCGTGTCGTGTTGAGAGTGCCCTGCACAATGACACAGAAGAAAAACACAAAGAAAATGTTTTTCTGAAACCTACATCACACCAGACCACATCTCACGATTTCTGAATAATTATCGATTAACGGTCACAAATCACCATACATAATAAAGAAAATTATATAATAATAAGCAGATGAATATCTATCTACTCCAGCCAACAAAGGCCTGAATATAACTATTAATAATGGGTCAGATATTACTGTAGGAAATGAAAGCAGTTTAAATGAAACTATTTCAAATGTTGAAATTTTGAAACAAATCGATAATTCCATGAGGTCCAGCGATAATTAATCAAAGGTAGCGACTTTCCTAAGTTATTAAGATATGTTAAATTTTCTCTCGGAAAAGCGTACTGTTATGTAAGAATCTTCGCCAAAACCTCTTAAGCCAGGGGCACACCGCCATAAAATGGTACATATTTTCAACCTCTGACATATTGCAAAGAGAGCATAAATACCTTGACGGATTCCTAAACATACTCTAAGTTAGGTAGTAACTCTCGGCACAGCAGGTTTTGCTCAACTTATGTAATTAATTGGCATGTCGTAATTTACGTAATTTATATATTTTAAGATAAAATTCAATTCTTTATAAATCCTGCCCGGAGGAAGAATTCAAGGCTCTTGAAATACTTTTTCCCTAAAGAATTCTCTTGATTTATATCGTATAATTTTTAAATAAAATTGCCAAATATTCCGGTTACTTTATATTATTTCGTTGTTTACATCAAAATAATTTGCGTTGTACATTTTCATGAGTAACAAATTTTGGAAATCTAAGCTCTAGGTAAAAAATTGTTTTATTGGCGTAATTTAAATGTAGATGAAGAGTATAAACATGTGGTAAACTAATATTTGATTACAAATAAATTAGATAAACAAGAGACCTAAAAGGTAATTTTAATAGTTTTTATTAAAAAAAATACATTGGGATTGGCTTAATTTCTCGTATTGTCGTTTCCTGAAAGTTGGGCATGAGAACAAACAATAGATCAGTAATTGCATCTTTTTGAAAATGTTGTTATATATAATATTGTTTGTAAGGCTAATTTATTCCAAGAGCTTGACTAAAAATTAATTACAATACAGTCGATATATGCTGCTAAATGTTTGAAATCTGTTTATGTACACTGATTTACAAATTTAACGAATCGCTCATTTTATTTAGTTTAAAATTAAATCCATTATTATTAGTCAAAATAAACAGTAAACAATGCTTCCGTTAATTCCTTTGTTTACTTTTACCTTAATCAAACCTATTTTGATATACGGGGGGGGCAAGTTTATGGATCTGCCAATTATTCCAATATTCAACATTACAACGTTTTCAATCCGAAATTTTAAGACTAATTGTTCTGCCCCCTTTACGTAAACAACACATTTTACAGAGATCTCCACATGCCAACTGTTTTGTTCATCCATCAAAACATATTACGGACGTTTTCATACTAAACTATATAATTACACAAACACACAAATACGATACTCCATTCTCCAAAATTACCATGTATGGGACTGAAAAGAATATGGATAAAAGACTCTTAAATGACTAATATCATTTTATTAACCCAGAGCTGCTGCAAATGGGTAGCTTCTAGAATGGCCGTAACGCCACAATCATAAATTGATATCTAATCTGCTGTTTGTATATAATACATGTATAGTTGTAGACAAAGGTAAATGAAGTTAAAAAAAAGTTTTATACTTATATATATTTTATTAGTTTCATTTACACAAAAAATAGCACTATGCCATACCATTCTGCTACGCTTAAAGATCGCATTCGGTTAATTTTTTGTCTTCGTTGATTTTATTTGATAGTATTCTTACTTTTAAATATTTTTCAATGGCTCCAGTCAGGAATTCAAGCGAGTATGACAGTGTGAGTCCTATTAGGTATTAGGTCAATATTATTAGAGGAAAGATTCAGCCAGAGCAAAGCCACCAAGAGATATAATGTATATCGCTCTACAATAAGAAGAATTCTTCGGCGCTTCAGATATACACCTTCGCACTAGAAGGCCAGGACAGGGCCGACCTTAGGTCAACGAGGTATATATAAGCATATATATTCAATACATATTCGAAAAACATATTGTGTCATTTGACCCTCACATCGGTGAGAGATTCTTGCAATGAGGTTGGAATTGAGTACTTGGTGAGGCCATCTCGAAGTCCATATTCGAACATATTTCAGACTATGGAACTTAAGCGACAAGTTCGACTCCAAAATCCTGGTCTTTTTTTTACAGGAACTGGAGGAGTTCCCTCCTGACCACTGCAGCTGTATAGCTTGTTGTACTTTATCCCTGGCTCCATTTTTTGGGGGGCTCGCAACACAAGTGTAAATTTGAGCCCCCGGTGTGCCGGTGTTCTTCCATCGAAGAAACTCATTTTGGAAGGGGGTTGGGACCAAATTCAGGGTCGCTGTGGTCTGATCCCGTTCCTCCCATTGATTAGTGCCGTGTCAATTTCTTTCAATTGCGGCCACCGGTCCCCTTAGGCGTCAGAAAACGTCCAGAGGCGACGGTGGGGATCGAACCCTCGACCACGGGATCTACTAGTCGAGAGTCTGCCGCCTTAACCACTCTGCTACCATGGCCCACCGTTGTCTTAGCACCGTAGAAGAATTTGAAACTGATGCTCTTGATGAATGGGAATGAATTCTACACGATTTTATGAGAAAGCTTTTCGAAGGAATTCACAGGCTAACAGACATGATTCGTTACATGGGTGGAAATTTTCGGTATTAAATGGGAGAAAATTTTTGGTTTTTATTTGTTTTTGATTATTCTATTCTTTTTTTCTTTGCTTAATAATTGTGTTTTTAGAATTAGGTAATAAATTTTTTTTTAAACGTATTATTTTTACAACCAAACCTATTTTCGTTATAATAAATATGAATAACACCTAAATCCATTAAAATTTAAGGGTGGTGCCTATATTTTGTCCATCATTGTATGTATTGCGGTTCCCTCTTCTACTTGGAAGTTTTTTGCCTATTCTCATTTAACTAACCCGCAATGTTTAGACGAGATTTTCTTGATTCAACGTTTCTGCTACCTCAGTCTGGGGTGTTGCTAGACGAAGTATGATTGAAGAACCGACACTTCTCACGATCCATTCGGCAATTACTTCTTTTTTTAAACTTTTAAATTTCAGAGAAGTTCACACAGTTCCTGGTCCCACTGGTGTTTTTGAGTAATCATATTTTCGCAACGCACAACATATAAACACTCGGTTCTATTGTATCACTTTGTAATCGCCTTCTCCTTCAGCATAGCATTTCAGGAGTGTAAATACCGTGCTAAATGGTCGTTGAAACGTAAATAACTAATATTAATGAACGATCTGTTTCGCTTAGAAACCAATGGAAAAAACACCATCAGAGATTTTGTACGCCTAGACCGGTAGGAGTGAAATGTGGAAGTGATCTAACGTAAAAAAATTAGTAAATTAAATTCTTTAAATTAGACATTTCCCCGGAACATGATTTTCTACAGTTCGATTTATTTCTGTCCGGAAGGTTAAATTTGTAGCTACAACGCAGAAAGTAAGGATGTTTTAGTTTTAAGTTAATTTTTCATTAAATTTTACATTTTTTTTTACGAGGGTTTGCAATAGCAGAGGACATCAATCACCTGTCAACCCTCAGGGCGCCGGTGTATATATATATATATTTTTTTTTATAGCCCACTTGTAAGTATGTCGATTTCGAATGCAGTGCCGCTGTATTCGAACCCGGGACCTTTTCCTTACAGTGATGAGCGCCGTGTCAACACCGAAACCGTTGCGACCACCGACGCCCCCAAACTTTTACTATTGAATAATTGAAAGTGGTTATTATTAGCATAACATATATATGCCTATCTGGCAATCCTGCTCTGCTTGAAGCATTATCGTTTGATCTGTCAATCTCGAATCAGCAATTAATGTTAATGATTGCATTCAGATCAGCCTAACGTCTTGCCAATCCTGATCAATTCCCACGTTGTGCAGGATGCATGTGTCCTGATTAATTATCTCTCCACTTCGATCTTTTGCGCAATCCATTTTCGTTTGTTGGTTTAAATAAAAAAGTGGTTAGTAACGAATTGAGACCAACAAAAGTTATTAAAAAAATTGGATTTTAGTAGTTTTTGGTTTAGGCAAAA